GGGGGGCTGGCGCAGCCTGACAGTCACTTAGTACATCCCAGCCTGTACGTGGCAGCTGGTTTTACGCAGCGTGGGGAAGGAAATGAGTTCTGAGACTGGATTTTCGTAGGATCCCCCAGACCTGAGCATGTGTTGCACATGCTCGCGCTATGGCAGGGCTGGAGGAAGAGGGCAGAGGTGAAGGGGAAGAGGCGGGGGGAGGTAAAGGGCAGGGTAGGACCCGGGGATGGGGATGGATGCTCGGCCCCTGATGGCCCCGATCACACAGCCTCCTCTTACCGGTATCGATGAAGCCGAGGATGCAGAGCGTGATGGAGACGTTGACGCTCTGAATGCTGAATTCCTGCCTCAGGGAGCTGAAAAATCCATCCAAGGCAAACTTAGTTGCAGAGTAGGGAACCGTGAAGGGAAACCCGACTTTACCTGGACACAGAGTGAAATTTTGTTATAGTGCAGGAAGCTGCTCTGCCTAAACGTCTGTTTTTCCCTTCATCAGATAAAGTATTTTACTCAAAGGGAGTTTACTGTTAGTGAAATGTCATCCTGGCACCCGAACAGCAGCATTACAAATATTCCCGTCAGCTTCCAGCACTTTTAAGGCCAACGCCATGGCTCATGTCTCTGCTCAGGGTGTGAGCAACCCGCAGTAACTCTGAAACCCTCAGCGGGGAGAGATGGAGCCAAGTTTAAACCCCTGTCTCTGGATACTGAGCGGAGTGGATCGCCAGAAGAACAACCAGCGTACTGGCTGGGAGCACAGACATCTGTTAGTAATTCTGTTTCCGGACTTAACAGAAATTCATTAGAACAGAGTTATGTTTTTGTGAATAGAGTCAGTCAATAACTCACTCCCCAAATATTAGCAGGAACTTGACCTACCAAACCAAGATGAACAGTCAGAAAAGCAATGCAGTGAGAAGTTACCCCATTTCCACTTTTCTCCGTAGAACTGGGGGTATAGGAGCTCTGCTGCTCTAATGAGCCTGACACCGGGGTTGGGGGTTTAACTACAGGGCTGGTGAAAAAGCAAGCTGGGGTTATTGGATTGTATCCGAGAACACATTCCCTTGAGAAGATACATTTTGGGTTGTTTTGAAGTTCGGGTGCGTTAAGCAGTTGCGGCTCCTTTAGGATGCCGGGTGTCTCTGCGTGCCACTTGCTTCTGACCGTCAGCCCGCGGTGTCTTTTGACTGAATCCCACGTCACCTACCTCGCTCCCCACTCACCCGCCATGGATGAAACCACCACGATGCTGCCCTCGCTCTCCTTCAGCATGGGCAGGGCAGACACGGTCATCGCCACGTAGCTGAGGAAGTTGATCTCCAGGAGCTTTCGTACGTGCCCAACGTCCCCATCGAAATAGCCGAAGTACGATGTGCCAACGTGGTTAAGGATCAGCATGTCTAGGCCCCCTGCAAGCAGAGGAGCAGGCATTAGCGCTTGGGGGAGAGGGCTGAAACCAGCAAAACAGCCTTTCCTGGGAGCAGAATGAACATAATTTTTTTAAAAATTAGGTTTTTTAGGTCAGAGCTGTGGCCTGTTATCTCTGGAGTAGGGATATAAGTCTGAATGATGGCTGCCAGTAACAATTTTGTTGTGATTTTTTTTGTTCCGGTTCAAAACACAAATACCATGGTAGAAGGGAGATCACCCTTGAGTTGTCTGTTGGTCCAGGGCGGGAGAGGGAGCACTCCACAATGAGCTGAAATACTGCATTTCCACAGCCGTGACCCATGGCCACAAAAGCAAGGCTGCTGTGGGCCTGATGGACAGTTTCAGACCGCAGTAGCTGGGGGTGATGCAATCCAGGATTCTGACACCGAACAGGATATCATGCAAGCACAGCGCTGAAATCGAGAGCGTAGTTCAGCTTGAGCTGGAGCGATGAAGCCAGGCAGACAAGCGGGACTGCAAAGGGGCACAATTAGAGGAAAAACCTCTCCTGTCTCACCCTATCTCCATCTCTCCAGCTTTTTTTAGTGGGCACGTGGCAAAAAGCAGCACAGCCAAGGTGAGATGTGATGTCCCGCTGCTGTTTGCAGAGAGAGGCTGTAAACATACCCAGGGAGGCCTCTGCCTCCTTCACCACGTGCTCGGCGAAGGCCATGTCCTCCATGGTGCCGCTGACGTACCGCGCCGAGGCTGCCCCCAGCTCCAGGCACCGCTCCACCACCTGCCGCACCAACACGACGCGTCAGAACCCCCTGTCCCTGCCCTGGCAAGCCTGGCGCGGTAGCGAAGGAGGGTGTCTGGGCTCCCTGTGATGCGTCCCTGCCTTAAAACAGTGGTTTGGAGTTTCGGGAGGATGTTTGGAGCCTTTTAAGCTTCAAAGGGAACCTAAAAAATTTATTCCTTTGGTGAATGCGTTGCCCAAGGCAGTCTGGCTCTTTCTCGGTGCAGTCTGTGCCGGAATTGCATGTGTGGAGAGTGAGCAGGAGCTTGTATATCACTGGAGTGGAATGAGGGTGTGTGTGTGTGTGCTGAGGGAGCCTGTGCACTGGGGATGTGTGTGCAGAACGAAGCAAGCTCAGGTATGCGCGATGCGGAGCGCCTGTGCCTGCAGGAGAGGGATTTCTGTGCACACAGGAGCCCCAGAGAGCACAAGTATGTGCACCCGTGGACGGAACTGCCTGCCTGGTGTCTGTGCCCTGGCGGTTACCGGCGTATATCCATGCATGTACCTGTGCTGTGAGACCGGCCTGCGCGTGTGTGTTTGTGCACCGCTGTGAGCGCGCATGTGTGAGTGCTCGGCTTGCCATTTACTTTCTGGAGCTTGGCCTCTGTCCGTGCTGTGATCAGAATGTGGGACCCCATCCGTGCCAGGTGATAAGCCATCTGCTCGCCAATCCCGGTGCTTGCTCCAGTGACAATCACCCGCTTCCCTTTCAGCATCTCTGAGGACGGAGGCACAGGGATTTAATTTATCCAAACACTATTAAAAAAAAAAATAAAATAAAAAGATCCCCTAATGCCCTTCGGAGTAAGTAGTTAATTGGAAGCGAAGTGAGCCTGGAAGCAGAAAGCACTCAGCACCAGGATGTCTCTTCCATCTGCTGGGCAGCGCTGTGCTGCGGAGCAGCTGCGGCTCCTCACTGACTGCAGTGACCCGGGGACAGCGCTCGACTCTGTCAGCAGGGTTTTTTTTCTGCAAGTCAGACACAACTCACAAACACCCCAACTACTCTGTAATAAAAAAATAATCCGCTGTGTGCATGCTTCAAAACTCGAAATCGAACATTTAAAAGCCATGTTTATAAACTCTTCTGCTACGTGCTGGAAAAGGGACCCCTCTCTGTCTCAGTCCCCCTGCCTCACCTGCTCCCTCAGGAATTATTTCTGCACATTACTGGCTCAGTTTGATTTCAAATCTTTGTTAAAACAACTTTTCCGGTATCAACCACCACACAAAGCCTCGGACATGGTTTGGTCCAAGCTCTGTACAGTTTCTATGCAAAAACACTCAAATGTGACTTTTACTATTCTTCCTTAAAGACAAATTCACTTTTAATACTTACCTGGTTTGAAATTCTCCCTCGCAGAATAAAACCAGAAGGCCAAAACCAATCCCAAAAAGGGAATGAGAACCTTTTGCAACCGACCCATCCCACTGTGGAGTCAGGAAATAAAGCATGAGAGAGAAGGGAGGGAAAAAAAAAAACCCTCTGCAGAGCTGCTCCAGAGGGAAGCAGCAATGCCAATACTTCAAAACCTGTTAGCGAAGGAACTGCAACTTCCAAAGCACTGGAAAATCACGGGTGGATGGATAAGTGAAGCAAACCCTTTGATTTGCTCCCCGCTGGAGCTGGCAAGCCTCGGCCTAACCAGCAGTGCCGTTTGGGTTCTGCCCGGCTCTTTTCATATTTCCTGTCCTACGTTAAAATGCAGAATTTTGCACAACACCCTGGAAGAGGTGTGTCTTTGCTGAGCAGCGTCAAGTTTCACTTTGAGAACATCAGAGGGAGCCTAGTGCAGGTGGTCATTCGTTGCCTTTTATTCCTGCTGGCAGCGTCCGTGGGGGCCGGCGGGGATGCGGTCCGGCTCCGGTCGCTCGCAGCGGGTCAGGCACGGGGGCTGCTGCTGCGGGGCGTCGTGTGGCAGATAAAGTCCTTGTCGCTGCTCCCTGCCCCAAAGCCGATGCTGGGCAGCAGGGGCCTGGCAGCACATCCCAGCCCCAAAAATGCTTTGCTGAGGCAAGGTTTATTTTTTTTTCTCTCTACCAACTCCTGTGAGCAGATGAGGGAGCGGGGGCTGAGCTGGACCCATCGCCAGGGGTGCGGCTCTCCAAGGGGCACAGAGAGCTTTGTAATGAAATACTGAACGTTGTTTTCTGCAGGGAAATACGTCCTTGCTGCTGTAGTTCCTGCTTCGAGTTTTGCAAGAGCTTTGCTCTTACTTTTAAGTGAATATATTCTGAGGGAAAACCACGTAACATCCGCTAGCTCCCCGAGTCTCGGCAGCAGCACGTTCAGTGCCATCCGTCTTACGCAACAGGTATGAACTGTGCTCCAGCCTTGGTCTGGTGCTGGCATCTCCATCGCAGAGCACAGCACCTGCTGTGCTGCCCGGGCTGGGGACACGCTGCGGGCCCCTCCTGCGCTCCTGGGCCTGCCTCGCTGGATGGAGCCTCTGCCCTCGCTGCAGGGCAGCCGTGGTTGCCAGGACAGGAGCCTCCTCTGCGGCGCGGGGCTGCACTGCGCTCTCGTTTACGTGGGCACGATGTTGTCTTTGGACCCCTCTACCATGACCAGCCAGAAAGAACTATTTAATTTTTTTTTTTCTCCCTATTGCAGCTTTAAAATAAAGATTTAATTTAATGGCGCAGCTGGTAGGGCGGCGGAGCTCTCTAGCATTGCTTCTGCTTTATAATTTTTTTCTTTTTTTACCTTTCTACTTCAGCCTCAACTTCCCTCCAGTAAGAAGTACTCAGCCCCACACTTGGTCAGGGAACACTCTGCTATTTCCTGCCTCTCTTTGCTTTGAACTTGGGTCGGGATCATGGGACAGCCGTTTCATTCCTTAGCTTGATTAAAAAAAAAAAAAAAAAAAAAAAGAACTAATTAACCTCACTTCAGCTGTGCTGTTGCCTGTGTGGCTGGCGGGGAGAGAGGCTCTTTTCAGCTCTCATTTATTGCTAGCGTTGGGATACTGCAATAAAGCAATAACTGCCAACCTTTGCGCGCCGCCTGCGAGCGTGTCGGGATGGTGGCGTGCTCTTTGCCCCGCGTCGGTGCGGGGAGACGCGGGGCTGGAGGCGGGCGTGCAGGGGCCAAACTCTGCGCTGGCGTCGCTGGCGTGTTCTTTAACGGGAATGGAGGGTTGGGGGGTTTTGTGTGAAACAGAAGTAGCTGATAATAAAGGACTGCAATACTGAATGTTTTGAGCGTGACTTAAACTCTTTATAAAGGAGAATTTGTGGATGTGCCGCTCAGGCTGTCCTGTGTGGAAATGAAGGCCGGGGGTGCTGGCCTGGTCCCCGGGAGGGCTGGGGGCTGCGGCAGCAGCAGGAGCTGCCGGATCTGCCAGCGTTTCGCTGCCCGTGGGTTTGCTCTTGGCCGCCTGTCACCCTTCCAGGGCACTGCTGCTCCTCACTCCCACTCGCAGCTTTTTCTGGGTTTGTTTTGCGGTATGCAACTTAAGAACTTGTTTTCAACCTTTTCCTGGGGGCGGGGAGTGAGGGAAGGGAGAGGAGGGCAGGAAGAGGCAACTGTGGAGAAGTGTTTTCTGATGGCAGCTGGTCCTGGCCCCACTGCTGCCAAACCTTCTCGCCTTGGCAGAGGGGGCCTGGCGCCGTGCCGGGGGGACCAGCTTGCTGCGTCACCCAAATTATCCTGGATGCGTCCCCCCACCGCAGGTCGCTTCGGTATCGCTCATCCGTTTGAAGCTGTGCTTTTCCAGGGGTGATGCTCGGCCTTGTGCTAACTGCTCCGCGCAGGGGAGGTTCTTCATTTAGTGCCGCCTGGAGCTGCCTTGGAGGAAACAAATATGCGAAGGAAACTTGTTCTGACAACAAACTGGCAGGGCAGCGGAGGGGGGAGCCGGTGCAGAGCCCCTGCCCGGTCTCCAGCCAGGCGCTGCCTGGAGGGAGCGTGTCCCAGGGCAGAGCTGGGGCTCGGGCAGGCTTGTGCAGCGTGGCAGGAACTGGGATGCCACTTCTTTTTTTTCCTCTTTGGAGTGATATTTGGCTTTTTTCAACCCATTATTAAATATTTGTTAAATGCAGAGGATTATAATTTTTTTTTTCCTCCCCTCTTGTTTTCCTTTATCAAGTAGACCTTGAAACATTATTTCTCATACGCAGCATACTTTACCATCAACACATCTAATGCCGTTCTTCAGATGGGATATCACCATTATAAAGGCCTGCCCTCAGTTATACGCGCATTAGGCTGATGTACGTGTCAACATGATGCTGCTGGGCCGTGAGAGATGCGTGTGTGTGTGTTGGCACGGCCACTCGCCGCCTCGCGGGGCTCCTGGACACAGCCCGCGGGCAGCACCAATATCCTGCAAATGCTGTCGCTGTCACGGCTGCACCGCTCCTGAAAAATGCCCTCTCGGGTCCCAGGGAAGACTCAAGGTGATCATAGGGACGTCTTTGATTTGACATGATATTTCTACTTGCTGCTGGTTTAGAGAAAATACTGTGATGTTTAAGGCCTGTCTAAGCACTGAATTATTTTTTTTTTCCTGCATGACCAAATTGGGAATTGCTGCCTTTGATATTCGATTTTTGGTACTGTGGCTGCTTTAAGTGTTGGCCACTGTCCATGTTCCCAGTGCCCTTGGTGTTGGATGGCAGAAGCTGATAGGCTTATCTGGGCCCCTAATTTTAGCCTGGCACCTCTTGAAACATCCAGAGTCCAAACTGCAAATATAGAGCGAGGACGAGATATTTGGCTCACGCCCTTGAAGAGATTGGCCTGTGAGGGAGGGCTGCTGGGTTTTAGGTGGCCATCAACTCCATATGATGAAAACCTGGACAACAACTCCAAGCTGAAAGAAGATCTCTGAAGAGGTGTTGCAGGATGGGGACAAACACTCACTAGTTTTCATGCCAGCTGCAGTTTTCCTGAGGATTTAATGCACTAGGAAAACGTCCCATTTACAGGTTAAAGTAAACTGAGTTCTGACAAGTCTTAAAAGAAGGAGAGTAACAGAAAATCAACTTCATGTGATGCTCAGCAATCTAACTCACACCTTGGGCAAAGTGTGGCCCTCCTTAAGAGCTTATTCCTCTGGACTTTAGTTTAAGTCAGTCTTAAGTGCTCCATATGCTTCTACACTGAAGCTTGCCTGAGGTGTCCTTACTAGTACTGACTGTACATCTTTTTCCATCTGGTTGCTCTCTGATATATCCCTGTATTTATAATTAAAATTTCTCTTTACAATTCATACACGGGCTTTCGGAGTGACTCCACCGTGTTCCGTGACCGGTGTGTGTGGACGCTGGTTGCCGGGGGTTGTGTTTGTGGCAGTTGTACTGGCCAGGGCTTTCTGCAGCTTGTTGTGTCAAAATACAGATGTGAGGGGGCTCTGGGAAACAGGCTGGTTTGGAGAGCCGTGCCATGGTTTAAAGATAGGGAAGATTGCTGCAGCCTTTTAATCTACTGCATCTGGCAAGTCTGTCATTCATCATTGTTAAAGGGATGTTAAATGGATTACTAAACCCCCATGCACACTGAATTTATCATTGAGTGGCTTAGGTAAGACTTTACACAGTCATTGGGGTAAAATCAGCCATTGATACGTGTCTCATTCGCTCTCCAGAGAGCTGGTCCTGTCTACTATCGGTGCAATCCGCCGTGGAAATGGTAACACGTAGGCTTGACCTCTCGGGCTGACCTTTCGGGGCAAGATGTGGGAGGTAACGATCTCTGAGCTTGCAGTGCGTCAGGAGGCAGGAGATTGTCTTCTGCAGGACATGATTTCACCGAGTGGGCTCCAGAACCACCGGCGCAGCGTGTGGTTTAGCTGTCTAATCCCGTTAGCTGTCTTAGGAGGAACTATTTTGATTGTTCCACGGACCTCTTTGCTTTAAGCTCATAAACCCTGTGACTGGATGGCTGTGGGCAGCGAGGTGCTGGCACGATGCGAGGAGGCCACGTACGTGGTGTGAAGACAACCTGGTTTTGCAGCTGCCTTGGACAAAGACGTGATCTTCATCTCGGTTTAGTCCATTTACAAACAGTTTAGCCCTGCCGCAGCAGCGATGCTTCTGAATTGCAGTAACGTGCGAGAGCTCGGGCCTGGCCGTATTTTCACGCCTGGTAAAGCCGCAGACGTTCAGGTCCCTGGTTTATCCATGCACCAAGCGTGCCACAGTGGATTCCAGGTCAGCCTTCCCTGTCCCCGAGGCTGTGATGGAAGCTATAACCTGCTTCAAGCTGGAACTGGGGGGAAAGATGGATGCTCGTCAGCTGGTGGCTTTGTTCAGGCCTGAATTATCCTTTCGTCTTTTCCCATGGAATTTCCATTGGTATCAACGAGGTGTCAGATTGTTCAACCTTGCCAGAGACCAAAAGGCTTGGTTATGGACTAAATGAAGTATTTCTCACAGGCTGTTTTTAATTTAATTGGATTCTGCTCCTTTCCCCGTGAGGAAAGGGTACTTTATACTTGATTCAAAGACTGAACAGAGTTTTTGTGCACACTCGGTAGGATTCCTCCTCCGCAATGTGCTGCTGTTTGGGGTTTTTTTTGTCAGAAATAAGTCAACAAAACATGTTGCATGGTTATGTATTACGAAAATGTAAGGGTGAACTTCAGCTGCGTTCCTGTATTTTCAGATTCTGATCTTAACATGTGCAGCTCGGGGAGGAGCTATACGTCTGGCACCGGTGCGAGGCGGTGCTTTTTCACTTTCCATCCTCTCCTCCTGTTTGTATTGTTTTGCTTTTAGCTGGATGGTGACATATTGCAGAATCACAGAATCATTCAGGTTGGAAAAGACCTTGAAGATCATCTGGTGGAACCATTAGTCAAGTGACGTATCACAGGTACACCTCCCAGTTTCGGTGCGAGGTGTGTAGCCTGCTCCTGGCCGTGTCTTGGCCATCGAGCAGTTCAAGAGGGATTTTCTGCCTCTGTCATCACTGGCAGGGACTGTATCCTTCCCTTCTGTAGTGTGGTCGGGATCTTTCAGCTGTAGCTGTCTGGGGGGGTTATTTGACTACTGTGACGTAGCCCTGAATGCAACAGATTCTTACTAAGCCCAGGACGGATTTTTAAATAGGTGAAAGTCCTCTAATGAGTCTGGCAGTGCCCTGAAGCTTGGCTCTCCGTTTCCACACCCTCCAAGCTGACTGTGCCATCATGTCTCTCCATGCTTCGGTTTTTCTATCTGCAACACCCCAACAATACTGGAAGCTAGTATTACTCTGCCCAGTTAGGTGTCTGTGCTGTGTTTGTGAAGGAGCCTGGGAAAGGCAGATTTTTTTTTAAAGTTTTTTTTAGCTGTGCAGTAGCTGTAGCCTGTTAGATGATTGCTGGGGCCTGGACAGGTTTTTATTTAACAGTTCTGGGCACGTATGGCCATGGCAGAGCCAGGAATTCGTGCCCCTAAACCCGGAGAACTGCATGAAGTACAATTCCAACTCAGGGCATGTGTTGGTCACCTGTGTGAGACAAAGGCCACCTCCTCCCTCCACCCTAGTTGGCCCATTTTGGAAGGGAGCAGCTGCCAGAGGTCTGGAAACTCCAAGCCCCTCGGTGCCAGCGCATGCTCAGGGAGGGGGGCTGTACTGGGAGGGTGCAGCCGCCCCCCCTCAGCTGTTCCCTGGTTATACCCCAGCTACAACCCGAGGAGCCAGAGGCACGAGTGAAACCTCTTCGCAAAATCAATAAGAGAAGGCTTTGAAAGATAAATGCAGCTAGAGAGCATTGGTACCATATAAAATATTTATTGATTTTGCAAAATGTTGTAAAATGCATCTGTAATAAAAATAAGAAACCGTGCTGTGCATCTTGCACGTGTTTATACCAACAAAAAGGTATTTTTTCCCCACTGCTGCACAGCAGCAAATAAAACCGTTCGCTTCTTTCAAGTCTTGCACTTGCGGTCTCCTCCTTCAGCCCCTTCTCTCTCCTTGCTGGCACCACCCCGGGCTGGCACAGGGCAGCGGAGTCTCTCGCGCTGGGCTGCGGGCTCTCAGGACGCGTGCTGCCGGGTCACCAGGGCCCGCGGCATCGCCCCCGGCTTCTTGCTCTTTTCCAAGATCAAATCCTCCTGTTTCTGGGCAAGCATCTGCTCTCTCCTCGGGGCAGGTGTCTTCTCCTCCTCCTCCTCCTCTAGCCTCCCTTCCGAGGTGAAGGGGCTGCACACCGTCTCCACCAGGCCGATCACCACGCCGAGGAAGGCCAGCACGCTGCCCAGCACGTACAGCTTCACCATCTTCCTGTTGGGCTTCTGGCTGAGCATTTCTCTGGCGAAGGGGATCAGCTCATGCATGGTTTCCATTTTTTTTTTTTTTTTTTTTTGCAGCTGATGTAGAAGATGTCAGTTCTACAAGAGAAGAGAGGGGGGGACGTGAGTTAAATCCAGCTGTTTCCCTGGAGCGGTCAGAGCCCCCCGGGCGGGCCAGGCTCTCCGCAGCCCCCCCGGCCCGGCTTTAAAGGGGGATTTTTGATTTTTCCTCGAGGCTCACTTGGGGAAAGTGTACCCACCCCCTCGCCCTGCAGCCGGGGGGACCCCCCCGGCACCCCCCATCGCACCCCCTTACCTGCCGGTGGCGGCTGCAGCGGGGCAGGGAAGGGGGTGGTGAGCGCTGCAGGCTGGGTTTAGCTGAGCTGGGCTTAGCTGGGCTAGGCTCAGCTCAGCTCGGCTCCGCTGGCAGCTGCTGGCCGTCGCCTCCCGCCGCCGCCTTATAT